CCAGTGAGCCTGTGGAGGGCAGGCAAGCATTGGTCAGGTGAGGAAAGACTGGGCTTCTTAATTCTCATAATGGGCTGATCCTCAGTGTTGCTGAGTTGCCACTTTCGGATTCTCTGCCTCTAAGGATCTTTTGTACCTTAAGGTATAGATTTTTTCCTTTTGTATCCTTGAGCTGCTACTGTTACCCTTTTAAAAAAATGTTTCTCTCTGTTCTTTCACTTTTCTCATTTTGCATAGGTTTACCTTGTGAATTTCCTGATATTTAAGCAATTTTCTCTTTAAAACTGAGGCAAGACCACAGAGCTGTGCCTCACCAAACCAGGCTTTGGATCCCAGACAGCTGAACCCTTAGGCCAAGGGCTGCCCTTCGTCTGATGCAGCAACCAAACTTCCTCAGGTGATGAATTCTGACCCTCCTTCCCATGGCCCATTCTATGTCACTGCCCAGACACATCCTTTGTGCTACACAAATGTCCCTCCTGACCACTGGATCCAACTTCAATAAGCTTTTTTGCCAGCTTGAGTTGTAGCACATAACAACAAGAGAAGCACCACAAGCACACCCGGGATGGGGTGAATACTGTGTGTCAGACTGAGAGAGAGGTTGAGGGGAAAAGGGAACCTTAAGCCCTCACTAAACATAGGCAGTCATTGTGATCCTGATGAGAATGTGTATTTTACCAGAAAAATAATGAATAAAAGCAGGGTAAAGGCATCAGAACTTGGACTAAATATATTACACTGTTGAATAAGCAGCATCCATTAATTTTGTATTACTAATGAAAAATCAATTTTTCACATTGAGTTTTGCTCTTTATAATCTCTCCTTAAAGGTTTGATTTTCTCTTTATACTTTTCCATTGGTTTCTCAGGATAGACTTCCTAGACTGTAATTGCCAACATACTCGTTTTCCATTCATAGACAGAAGCTGTTTGAACAGATAGGAAAACTGCTTTTTAAAGCATGCACAGGTGAACAAACTCACAAACCCAGAGGTCAACAAAAGGATTCCTCTTTTGCCCTTCCTATAATCCCAGTAGTTCTTTCTCTTGCTTGTGTTCCTTCCAACTACGGGCTTTAGTCTATCACCTGGGCTAATTTAAACTTAAATCATACTGTGTGAGTAATTCTCTTGGCTAGACATGCTAAATGGGGGTTGGGATTTACAAAAACGAAATTCAAGAGGAAAAGAAAGTTGAGTTTGGAAAATACCAGAACAAAGCAAATGTTTTGAAAAATTGGGCAGGAAAGCTTACTGAGACTTTTGAGAATCACACAGGTCACACTGTTTCTAAATATGAATTTTGGCCACTTCAGTGCTCTACTGAAAACAATAAATACTCTTAGGTCCTTGGTGGGTAGACGTATTACATCTTGTGCAATATTTATAATATATTTACAGTTGCAGATGTGTTCATATGTATGAATTTTATTTTTTTTTAATTTTCAATACTTTTTTGTTATATTTACCTATATGTGTTGATTTCTGTCCCCAGGAACTCTCTCTTGAACTCACTGAAATGCTTTTCTCATTTATTTTTTTTCACCATCTGCTTAATGGGTATGCTGTCCTCAAGATGTACACACTTAACTCCTATTATTTTTCCATTGAGAAAAGAAACTAATCCAAAACCAAACCTTATATGTCTATCAATCTGTTCACGACATTCTAAAGGACTTGTCTGCTCCTGTATCAAGGGAAAAACGTACATTTTACCTATGTAGACTCACTGATTGCTGAACTGAACTTCTGTTGTCACAGTTCCAGGGTTCAACAGTTTAAATGCAGGCTGCATTGAAAATACACCAGGTCCAAGAGTGCAAGAGGCTGAGTAGCCAAAGGACTATTCCATTCCTAAGGACTATTAAACTGGTTTTAATTTTAATGTTTTAACCAATGGTAATATTTTATAAATTATTTCATCACATTAATTTTAATGAAAGCAGCAGCAACACTCATTAAAATATTAATCTTAACCGCAACACATAGCAGTGTGTCAGGAGCTAAAATGCTTCTGCACACCAGGACAGGACCGCGAAGCAAAGGTCCTGAACGTATATGTACCTTTTGTGGTTCAAAACATCGAGGGATCAGGGAGAAGGCAGTTGAGTCATGCAAGCATAGACAGTCAGCTTCCTCAGACTTTTATAATGCATTTTGGAAGCTAATTGTTTAAGATCTGGGCTCGGGCAACGTTGTGTGGGAGCAGCACAGGGTCAAAAAGCCAGGAGCATAAACTGGTGAGGAAAGCGGTGATTCTTCCTCGTGCGCCAGGAGCGTGGCTGGTAATTCTGCCTGCGCTCACCAGCTGGCAGCGACACTGCCCGGTCAAAGAGGTCTATGAATATTGCATGCCAGGGAATAATCACTGTAGATGCTGATTGCTGTGGGTGCTGACACAAACATGAATAATTCCTGGAGTATTTCATAAAACATAAGTGTCTCTGTGGTGGCGAGATGTGACCAAGGTGAAGAGGGCGGGAGCATCCCTTTCCCAATGATGTTGGTATTCTTTCTCAGCTATTTGAAATACACGGAGCTAGATTTACAGGAGTAAAAACAAGAATCACTACAAAGATTTTGCAACAAAAATACAGCTTTATTTAATTTCAACATTTATATTATTTCTAAAGAAAATATGCTGTGTTATATTTGGCATCTCTTAAACCAGCAAGCACTTCAAGAAACGGTATTTCAATATGGCACATTCATGTGTGTATCTCTGGGGTTAATTATGCTAGTACATTAGATTATGGCTTGAAAGAGTATTTGATTGTTATTACTGCTTTGTAATTAGTATACTGGAAGCAGCTGTTTGGTTTTTTTTTTAAATGGTGCTTTAAATAACATTTGTGCCATGGATTCCTTCTCAGTATAGAAACAGGCCTCAAAATACTCTACGGTCTTAGCTCTTGATCCTAATTCGGGGCTGCAAAAGAAGAGTTTTCACGTGAACACAAGTTGTCAAAACACAGATTAGTAAACTGTATAACAAGCACTGAGGTTACTTAGTTTTCCTAATTTACAGAACCTGATGATCTGGCTAACAAGTGTAACTCGTAGGAAAAAAAAGCCCTAAAGATATATTCAGCCACCTCTTTTGTGCCATAGCTGTGGGAGAAGGTGACAGCTGACAGACCAAACCTACCTTGTGAGGTGCTTGCCTGTCTTTGCAGCAGCCTGAGGTAAACTCTTTCAGCACTTGAATTTCCACATTGCTGCAACTGCCCAAATTCTAAACTAAATCTCTGTCCCTGAAATTTGGGCCCATTTCATTTTCTCCTAGTCTTAGGAAGGATGGAGAAAGGACTAACATCACTTTATAACAGTCCATTATGAAGAGATATAAACAGATGTGCCTCTACTCTGTCCTTATTTCTTTTCTTCTGTGTGAAGACACTGAAATCTTTACATCTTTTCTAAATTTCCCATTTGTTTCCCATATCCCATGCAACTGATTCTTCACTAATACTCAACAGACATGAGTAATTGCCTCCATCATATTATAAGCACTCCCTTCCACATTTCCCTGGAATGGCATTTTTCATAAGAGCATCACTTCTTCAACTCAGATTCAATTTGTGGTCCCCTGTAATCCTCAGTTTCTCTCCTGAAGTATTATTGTCATTCCTTTTCTGTCTGTGCTTTTCCTAATTCTTTCTATTTGTCTTCAATGAATTTTATCATCCTGATTTCAAGCCATTCTTCTAATGCGAGTGATGTTTTTTTTTTAATTCTAATCCTGCCCTCCAAACTGCTTGCAAGTCCTCCCAAATGGGCATTATCTGTAAATTTGCTAAGCTTACTGTCCATGTGACTGAGCAAGTACTTAATGGCAATGTTTTATAGTGCTATAGGTAGGAGACAGCATTGTAGAAACCTGTGTGAGTTGTTCTCCTGCTTTGGCAGCAAATGATTGTTCTCAGAGTCCAGCTTCCCAATCAGTTGCACATCTACCTTATTTAATTTAGTCCATATCTGCTTTGCTTGCTTATGTCATGTGGGAATGTGTTGAAGATACAACACATTCAAACACATCCCCTGTATCTGTTTTGCTGTCAAAGAAGGAAACAAGATCAACTAGATAGGATTTGTTTCTGACGTGTCCCTGTGCAAGTCCTCTTATCTCCTTACTATTCTCTAGATGCCTACAAGTGGCTTGCTTAATACTTTGTTCTTAATACTTTGTTCTTAATACTTTGTTTAATACAGTGTCCTGAAAATGCTATTAGGGCTGACTTTTCTGTAACTCTTTAGATTTTCCTTTCCTCTTTTGTTAGATATGTCATTGTGTTTGCCTTTCTCCAATTTTCTGGGAACTTACTCATCTTGCTAATCACTAGTGTTTGAGAGATTGCTTTGGTTAAATATTTTAAAGGTAAGTTTCATTAGGCTCCAATTTACCTCAGTATTCCTTCAGGTGTTCTTTTCCTTTTCCCTCTATGATCCTAATCCCAAATTCTTACTAATAACTGAAATAAACTTTTAGTCATAATTGTTTTATGAAGATGGAAAAAAAACAAAAAAAAAGGCATTGAACATTTCAGCCTTTTCTATATCACCTGTTTTCTGACCTCCCTTGTTAAGTACTACATTATATCTGCTCTCAAGCATAGCACAGTATTTGCAATATAGTATAGTTTAACTCTAGCAAACTATTCACTTTAATGGCACTATGTGATTATGCACTCAAATACAAAATGATATTCATCTTATTTCAATGACATTACTTCACAATCTAATTCCAGACCATACCTCAATTTCTTCCAACTGTTTGATTACATCCCACTTAAAATTAGTTCAGTTGTGACTTTATTCTGTGATGCTAAGTGGAATTACTCTGCATTGGTAATTATTAATAGAAAAATCATTCACCAAACATACCCAGCTTATTATCCAAACACTAAATTGTATAGCTAAAGCATCCTATCATCTTTTTAAACAAAATCATACAAATTTGTTGAAGTGATGTGACTGTAAACAAGAAATAATACTCACCATCATAGCTAAACAGAACCTCTTTCATTGGCAACCTATAGAAAAAAGGGAAATAAAAGGAAAAAAACAAAGTGCAGGGGAGGATAAAACTGCAATATGTTAAGCAGGCACAGTTCTACAAAATGGTAGACAACTTCATTCAGCACCTTGTTTTTTAAAAATATTGGTTTCCTGCACTTTTAATTTGAAACTATGCTTACTGAACTGGGGATGATTTTTCATGCTTTGACCTGTTTGAGGAAGTGTACTGCATATAGCAAATTTCAACAGACAAGCATCACCTTGGCTACATGCACGTTAGAGGACATTTCAGACCCATGTTGGGTTTCCACTTATATTTTGGACCCCATCCTGGGAGGACAGAGCATGTGGTCAACCTTGTGTACGCATGGCATGGATGTTGTTTTCCTCCACCTTAGCAAGGCTTTCAACATGGTCTCCTACAACAACCTGGTACCCAAATCGAGAAGCAGGGTGGACTACAGAGTGGATGAATAACTGGCTGAACCACTTGCCTAAAAAGATTGTATCAACAGTTCAAAGTCTCTGTTCCAGGTGGCATTTCAGAGGATGCTAGAGTGACATCTCCACTGGGGACATGGGTGTAGGAGAGTCTACATGTCCAGGAAGTCTGTGGATGTTGCTAAGTTGGAGGGGAGGGAGAGTACGATATGCTGAAGGTCCGGCTCCCGTTCTGAAGGACTTTGCCAGACTGGAGGGATGGGCTAGCAGGAGCTTGGTGAACAAAGGCAAATACAAAATCCTGCATCTGGTGGAGGACAAGGTGGGTGGAGGAAGCAAACAACACCATGCAATGGGACAGGGCAGCGACTGACTGACTGGGAAAATCCTGCATCTGGTGGAGGACAAGGCGGGTGGAGGACAAGGCGGGTGGAGGAAGTGAACAACCCCATGCAATGGGACAGGGCAGAGACTGACTGACTGACTCAGTCTGAGGAGAAGAACCTGAGGTCTGGTTGATACCAAACTGAATGTGGGTCAGTCCACCCTTGTTGCAATGAAGGACATATATGTATATGTCATATACAGTTGCATTAATTAGAGCATAGCCAGCAGGTTGAAAGAAGTTATTATTTCCCTCTGCTGGGCACTAGTGAGGCTGCATCTGGAACAGTTTCCATTTTTGAGCCCTCCCAATAGAAAAGGTTGTCAGCCAAACAGAAGAAATCCAATGGAGGACCATCAGGATGGCTGTGAGCATTCCTTGATTTCTGGGAGAGGCATATGCCATACGAGGGGATGCTACAGGGCTTGTTTAACCTGAAGAGTAGGCTAAGGGGTATCTATTTTCCGTCTCCAGCTGTTTAAGCGGGGTTTATAGAGCACTCAGATTTGCATGGTGAAAGGAAAGGAGGCAACAAGTGGGGGAATCTTAACTAGCCATAAGGAAAAATATGTTTTATCATAGGAGCGGTCAAGCACTTCAACTAATTTTTGTCTAATTCTGTGATTATAATTACTTATGCATTACTTAAGTATTGAATAATAAAAAAAGCCTTCTTCCAACTACTACTGTGTTCTGAATAGCTATCCAAAGCAAGCTCTTTTCCTCTAAAACTATTACACAGTAATCCTGCTATTATTTAAAGGGGATCAAATACGACAGTTGCCTCATAAAACCAAATAGAATTAGACTAAAATGGTAGTTTAAATGATATACTGAAATTTCGCACTTTCTCTGTATCATATTTATATTACTACCCTTTCAGAGTTTTTGATTTAAATTTACCATATAAGTAATAAATTTACAGTAATTTGTTTTATAGAGATCACATTAGAAATAAAATCCTATAAGTGCATAAAATGCTTTTTACTTGTTAATGCATGATGATCTAATATGCCCTTTCCTGTCAGTAGCCTATAAATGAGACTTTTTACTTAAAACTAGGAGATAACATTGAAGCTGGCCAAGAGTATTGCCCAAATACCTGTTGCAAGTATAAATTTCCTGTTGTACATATAAAACATTAAAAATTAAAAAGCCTAAAGCATTGTGCAAGGATAAAATTAGAAAGTATGTCTGATGATATTTAAAGGTTTTATTTGAGAATTTACAAATGTGCATTGTTCAGACCTACCTTTCTATTTATAAATATCAGAAGACTGCAGTTTACTGTTCCCTTTTAGTGGCCCATCCATTTAGGAAGTTAAAGAAATTGTCACAGCTAACACTTGAAGTTCTTATTCATTTAGGAAAAGCAGTAGTTATTCCTACTTTTAGTGCTCATTTGCAGGGTCATTAAGTTTTCAATTAAATGAACTGTTACAAAGATATGGAGAGACCCTTGGGTTGCAGTCCTTGGCTTGGTCAAAATAAACTATGAGTGGTGAGACTATCACTTCAGATAGGTCCTGTTCATTTTGTTCCAAAATATTTTGGAAGATTACAGGTCAAGACAGAACAGTTCTCATTTTGGAGGTGAGTAACATCAAAAGATTTTCTACTTTGCATCATCCAAGAGCTTTTTTTATATGTATTGCTATTGCTCTTTGACTTATTATGTGCTGCCTTAATCTCTAAACTTAGTCTCAGTCTGCGCAGCACCCTTTATGAATTGCCTAATGGCCCCTAGTTCATTCGATAATTCATAAACTCTGCAAATCAGCAGTGCTGCAAAGACCATGCGGACCCTATATTCCAGATGTCAGAGCAGAAGAGATGCTGACTACATCACAGCGTGACACACACATGGTCTGTGGCCTGGCTAACTATGGAGCTGGCAGTGATGCTCTACCATACCAGTGTATACCAGCTTTCCACTGTCTGGAGGACGGGGCTGTAATTTTACGCAGGACTGAAAGTAAAAAGTGAATAGTGCTTCAACGACATGACAGGTGGAGAGGCCATGTTTGTGTCTCCAAGAAAAGCAAAAGGAGCAATGCAGTGTATGTCTGCAGGCAGGGAAGGACCTGTCCCAGCACTGAGCAGAAGAAGAAGGTGCTTGAACAAATGAGTTGACATTTGAGTAGGAGCAGCTTCTGATACAGTTCCTTCTAGTTTCGTTAGGCATCTACCATACCCCTGTTCTTGCCTTGACAGCGATCTTCTTTACAAGTTGAAAAGGTATTGAATGGTAAGTGAGAACTGGATCATTACAGAATACCTAACCACCACCAGCAGCCTCCCTCAGGCTGTCAGCATAACCTGGAGGAGAAGGCAGACTGTACCATCCCACCAGAGACCCAGAGACAGGGAAGGGAAGGCCTCCGCTTTGGGCACAGCCCATGTTCATCCATCCCTACTCCACAGTGATCGTGATGTCAAGCGCCTATTGGGAGGGTGGATTTTGTAAGCTCTGGGCTTTTCTTTTCAAATCCAGGGTATAATGACAATTTTTTTTATCCGGAAGAACACCACTCTGTTCTGATAATGCCATTTGGATTGGAGCTTTCATCCAATGTCAAACCCCTTACATAAATTCTTTAGTACAAGGACTCTTTCATAAAATCAAGGATAAAATTCTTCTTATATGTAGATTCTATCAATGATTAATACTAATGTTGACCTTTGACCAGGAACACTCCTTAAGTAAATAAAGATTAAGAGCAATGTATAACAGAACTTTGGACCTTATTGACATCTTCATAGAATTTCAAATTTCAAGAGCTTTTACTATTAAAGTTGTTTAAAGTGGAGCGGGGCAGATTAACTGTTTCCCCTTGTAAAAAAAAAAAAAAAAAAAAGGAGCTTCTTGTACTAAAACTCTCACAAATTTGCACAGAAGATAGTCAGTGAAATCCTGTCACCACTGAAGTCAATGGAATCACCTTTTTTTCATGGGGTCTTTATATGAATGATGACCTTACAGATGTTATTATTATCTCAAATAATTATTGCAGATCTTTCAGGAATAACAAACAGATAAGACAGAGTAACAGATCCAGAAAAAGGTTATATGAACCTAAAGTAATTGTGTAATAGACTTGGGATTTTGCAAGTAATATATGAATAAGGGTAATGATTAAACACTTTTAGCACCTGCATGCAATGCCTTTTTGTGACTATACAAGTACATATGCCTCATGTTCTCTCTAAAGATTCTGACTCAGTACAATTCTAAGAATGATTATAACATCATTCACACATCACATCCTAGGCAAACACCAGGTTTACTTGAAAGGAAAACAGTAGGTATCAGAAATTACTGGTGTATCTCTTGGTTAAGTTTTAAAGGAGTATCCTTCAGATCTCCTCCATCTAAAAAGCACTGGTGGTAGAGAAGGATTTCACAAGGAGGAGAATGTCCCTTATATGTTTTCCTCCTTTCACAGTGAAGTGACAGATCTGATTTGCTTCATGCTATTACAGATTGAAGCTAAAGTTGCATGAAGGATTCTTCTTTATACAAAGGTAACTCCTTTTTTTTTTTTTTTTCCCAGTGAATACTTCACTTTGAGGAAAAAAATATGAATTACTAAGTAGAAAATAGCAGCACTTTCCCTTCTTCCCCTCTTTCACTCCTTCCTAAAGGTCTAGGAGGTGCTTACGTTTCACAGAGCATCTGCCCAGCCATTCTTTTTTGGAACTGCATAAATCACATTGACTTTCTCTCACTGTGTTTTTAGCTCTGAGGAAGGAACCTCGTGGGAGAAGTTAAGCATGAGCCTATACGTAATTTCAGATAAAGAGCATTTTAGTGAGGGCAGAGACTACAGGACAGAGATATAAGGTTCTAATTACAGCAGTAAAAGTAATTTGGGGCTTATAACTTTACAGAATTTTTCCTAATCAGTTCAGCATCCAAACAGGGCTTCACTGATAAAAATGGCATTTTAGATTAGGTGGAGACTTGTGGGTTATATAAACTCATAAAGTGTAAATTCAGTATGAAAAGTTCCTACAGTCAAGATAGGTTCCTAGGAACAATACAAGTGCCTGAAAGATGTTGTCATTTTAAAAATCATCAGCCAAGGCTTACCTTGTTGTTTTCACTACACTGAAAAGGGAAAGCAGCATAACACACAATTTTGAAGAACCAACCAAAGAGCAAATGGTGAAAATTTGGTGGTTTTTCAGAGACAGCTCAACAACAACATATCTAAAAGAAGCCACTGCCCTCAGGGCAGCTAAGAAGAGTGCCCCAAATATTTTGAGGTGCTCCTGGCTCTATGTTCCTCTCCTATCTGTCTCTAAGACAGCATAAATGTTGGTCTTCTTCTGGGTATCAGTGCTGTATAATTCTGCCTCCAGCCTCAAGGGAAACTGATGCCTTTGTTCAGTCCTTCTTGACTAAGAATGAGCAAAGGTGGTTGTCTCTAGATGTGTTTGTGTCTACTCTGCCACCCACTAAAGATGGAAAGATATTGCTCAGTCTCAACATGGCCAACACGGTGTCCCCTGGCCACCTTCTCCTGCTAAAAATGGGATTAAAAATTGGGGGGAAAAAATAGATAACATCTCCTGTACAAGTACTTTGAAAAGTTAATTGGAGAAGACTTTCTTTGATTGGTAATAGAGAAAAGAGAAAATGTGTCATCTCTTGAAGCTGTTTCCTGAACAGCTTGTGGTGAGCCTGACACAATTCTTCCTTCTGTATCTACATGTGGACTGAAGTCCACTTGTAGTCATAGTCAGTTACAAAATACACATTAGTGACAGACCCCAGGAACCAGCATGAATACACAGCTTTCTCAGCTGTATCAAATGGCATCTGACACTTTTTTTTAAAATTTAAAGTTGACTATTTGCCTCCAGCTAACATTATTGTAAGTGATGAATGTCCATCACCCAATAAGATGTTAATGGAGGGAAATACAAAGGGTACTGATAACAGCCCAAGTAAATCCCCTTCTTTCCAATTGATTGTCTTCGGTCTTTATAAATGCAACCACAATTTCATCAGAGATCTTTATTCTACGGGTCGTGGTACAAGTGTTCCAACTGTTGGAGTACATTTAAGCTTTTTAATAAATTGGTTGATAGAAATTCTGTTCAAGGTGTTTGTTTAAAATACAAGGGAAGTTTTAGAAGACAGTGCTATACATTTTATCTGCCTTCAAACAGACCAGCTCGGCCTCTAACCAAAGGAATTTTGCACTTTTGTTGCCATTGTCAATTTGGAACATGCTACAACTTCATGTTTTCAAGAATACTTCAGTCAGGATAGTCTGACTTTACTATGTCAGTTTAAGATGCTTCACTTTCTGAACTGATCATAACAATGCATCAGTTAAATTATGTGTCTTGTTTCTTTAAAGAGTTCTCTTTGAAAAGATTTGCCTTTCCATTAGATCTGCAGAGCTTTCCCTCAATGTGTAAATTGTAAAGAAGAAGCATGAGAGATGGGGATTTAGTTGTTTGCTTTCCTCTATCTTATTTTCAAATACAGGAAAATAAGCTGCATCATCAGAGGCTGCATATGCATACAAATATATATGCATATACATAGACTTATACAAATACACATATATATACATATACGTGTGTATATATATAAACATTTTAGAGTGCCTGATGTAGTGCAAATCTGTTTCATCTCAACAATTTTTTTCTCAGACCTATTTAGTCCTTCTCACTACCCTCTAATGAAGTACCTTTACTTCAATAATATTTCAGAAACTTTACAGATGAGATGGGAAAAACAACCTGTCTGAGAAGCTCAGCAAGGTATTTGTTGTCTAACTTTATTTTGTGAAGGCATCTTGGGGCTTCCTTTGGATGGATCCACGGCAGAAACCATAACAACTACTTTTGAGAGAACCAAGAAATGGTTCCTGGGAGGCAGAGGAAAGGGTTTAGAAACAAGCAGAAAGGTCAAAGGCAAGGAAAAAAGGGCGAGGTTGGAAGGCTGCGATGAAGATTCAAACAAAAAGAGATGTGAAGTTGCTCTATGTCTCTGACCCCCTGCACAGAGAGGCCAGGGATGCACATGAGAATAAGAGGCTATGTTCATGTCTCATATGCTCCTGGTGCAGAACAGGACCCCATTGATCCACCCAACAAGTGACATGTCTACCTTTTATTTTTTTCCTTTCTTTTCCTTTTTTTTAACCTTTTTTTAAGTGGAAACTGAGATTAACTATGAGGATATATTGACAGGCTGTCAGCAAACTCCGAATTCAGCCAGACCCTCTGATTCCAACATGTGAAGGGCTTGACCTCAAAACTCTCTCCATATTTTCAAAACAACAAGAAAGTTAATAATTTGGTAGCAATTATTGGCAAACATCCGTTTTATTTATTTAAATGCTCATTTTGCTGCTTTTAGCAAGACTAGAATCTAATTTAAAAATAATAAATTAAAAATTAACTGTGTTACAAAAATGTAATTATCATTCCTATCTATATTGTTAAACTCATAAAAAAACTTCTGAAATAATTATGAGCATGTGTCTGGTAACCAAAGAGGTCTCAGTAGTAAAAAACTCATTCTTGTGTCATAAATGTACTCATACTGATATTATTGGTGGTAAGTTATGCCTTCTTATGTGAATTTCTAAAATAATATTGAAAATGTCCTTTAACTAAAGATGTTCTATTACATTCCAAACCCCACAGTAAAGATTATTGTAGTTAATTAAATTGCATATGTTTATTTCAACATTGAGGCTATAATTCAGCTTCATGTTCATGACCTTGTCAGAAAAAAGTTTTGCCTGTGCCAGCAGAACCTTTTTAATTTTTATATGCCCTGTCTCAAGAGAAAATTGATGATGTGTAGCAGATCGCTTCAGCTCTCACTGAATGAATTGTCTAGGGTGGTAATCACTATGGGCCTAGAGCTTAGATATGTAAAAGTAGTAGGGAATTGGCCACTGAATTTAGACTTCAAGAACATTTCTGTTCCTTCTTCAAAAGTCAAGTAAAACTGGCACTGAATTTTGATGCTAGGCAAACTTGCACTATGTGTTCTTTTATGTTTTCTTGACAGTCCTTTACAAAATTCTCAATAACTAATTATCCTAAGTACTTCTGGTAGTTGTGTCTGGTATTTAAAAGAGAAGCTATACCAGTGACTGCAAATTGTAGAATGCTCGATTTAAATGGGGCTAACTGCATAGTTTAACAAATTCCACTTGCTGACACCCCAACAGCACATATCAGGAACCTGAAGTGTAAATGTTAGTATTACTCCAAATTCACGCAAGCAACAGAGTCTGCAAAACAACTCTTTTTTTCTTCATTTATCATGAAGAATAATTAATGCCTATCTAGTTCATGCACCGGATAAAGGCAGATTTCGGAGCTCAGCACATTTGTGCTCATCAAGTCTACACAAGCTACATAAATAAAAGATAAAGCTAGCATGCAAATGCTTAAACCCATTAAATGTCAACTGATTACCTCCTTAGAGCTGAGTGTTTCATTTTCCGGAATAGGCACTATGGGATGACTGGGCTGCTGAGCCAAGATGTCGCAGGTTGGAGAGAGAATGTGGTTAAAAAGAGGAAAAAGAAATCTGATATCAGTTCAATTTCTGTATAAAATATCACTAAAGTTTAATATTGAAAGTCAATACCCTCAGTTGTGCAAAGGATAGCAAGGCAATGAGATCCCATTTGGGCCCAACAGGCTCCCTGTTGAACAGGCTCTCTCTTACTACTCCTTATCTGTATGAAAATCTATTTCAAGGTATGGCCTGTTTTCTCTTATATCATATTCCCATAATTAAAAAGGTGGGGAAGGGATAAATCACTTTCTAATTTGAAAGAGGCATCTCAAGTAAAAGTCACAGCAAGGGCACCTGCCTTATTATACATTTAGGATGAGATAATACATATAAAGTTATTTAAAACTGCAGCTGTATTTCTGTCACTTTGAATATCTGTCTTCTTAAAACTCCTCCAAAAGAGCTCTCCTTAATCTTAAATTTCATAGACATAAATCATACAATCATTTAACTAAAAAGTGCTGTATAACGGTAATCGGTATGTGTAGAAAGAAGTTTTCCGGTGTTTTGAGTATTATACGATGTGCATCTAAGTAATGAAGCTTGATGGGTGTGACTTAAGTGAAGAACTCAATTTCAATAAGATTTGGATTAAAATATAAGTAAATAGATAAGCTGGAGCTTATAAAGACAATGCTAAGATCATAAGCTTGTGAGATTTTACTTATACAGTGACACAGAGACATTCTCTTTAGAGCAAGGGCTGCTGAAAGTATTGGGATTTGAGTATTTTAGGACTCTACAAAACCAAAGTTGGAATAAGCTTGTCATTTTCAAAGTATCAAAGGCATTACTTTGTTTTTGTATTTAGATCAAATAGTAAATAAATAATGTGTTGCTTAGAAAATATTGCTCTTGCCCTAAGAACATTAATTTCAAAACTGTACTTTTTGAGAAGCAAAACTGATCTGCTAAACTGGCCCTATCTACAAAGATACTGAAGTGAAGTATACTCTAATTTTCTGTAATTACGTTATGGATCTGCTACGTATAGTGCTCTCCCTTTATAAATTTGCCCTTATTCATTTTCAGGGAAACGGGAATCGACTCTGACAACAACAGCAGCAGTTACAGAAGCTTTGGAACTTTTAACTTTTTTTTTTTCCCCTCCCAAAAAATGAAGAGGAAAGTGAATAATTTTAGGCAATAAGTTTGTTTATTTGTTCAGTAGATGTAGACAAGGGAATAATTGTAGGCAAAGGAAGGGTAAGGAAGGGGTAAGGAGTCTAGAACCTCTTAGCAGCAACATCCCTCCCTCTGCAGCACACCTGGTTCCCAATTTCAGCCCACAGAGCTGCCAAGGCAGTCCCCAGACCTTGCATCACCCCGCTGCTGCAGCACAGCTCTTCATAACAGCCACAGGAGGAGCCTACGTGGGAGACAGAAGTCTACATGGGAGATAGAAATCCTGTTTCCAAACCCAATATCCTGTAGCTGCTGAGGGTGGGCAATCCTTGGTAATACACAGGTACAAAGTTCTAGTAACACCTGTGGTATCTTGGCAAGCTTATTTCATTGAAATAAACCCTGGAGTTGAATTACCTATTGTTTCACCAGAATATGGCATCTCCATATTCCAGGCAAAGTAAGAAGGGTTGATCACAAAGAGAAGAGGGAAAGTATTGATCATTTTCTGTTTACTTTCTGATGTGCAGCTAGGGTCTCTGAGAAGAATTGTCCACTGCTTGCAAGAAAGAAAAGCTCCCTAGTCAGGCAGTGATCCGAGAATGCAGTAGCTCTTTTTCTCAAATTGCACAGAGAGCCAACCAATGAAAAATGCACTTTTATTGTCTTATCTTGTCCTGGCCTTTCTTGCCGGTGTGCATTGCTTACCGTGTTAACCTGAACTGCCTCTCTGAGTCATGATTCTGCCTTACCTTGTCCCTTGAGTATGAGGTCTCAAGTCCCTCCTTAGACCTGACAAAGGTAATGATCTTTTTTTGTCCAAGAAATTTATTTGCTTCCTTTATTTTGATACCATCTTCTTTTCAAACTAAAGAGTCAACACATATAACAGTCTCCATGGAGAGGGAAAATTATCTGTATTTTCTGGACAGACACTCTTAACACTGATTATTTTGGAGAGCCTTAATTGAAAGAAGACAAGTGAGAGGCAAACAAGGACTTCACTGATTGGTAATGGGGGAAAAAACTTAATACAGGCTTAAGACTTGGAGAAAACCTGAAAAATATACAGTTCTCTGTTTTCACAAGGCTTTTCTGACATAAGCCCCCTGAAGTTGTCTTAGAAGAGTCTATATATTCTACTAGTCAGGTGTTTAGAGATCTAATTTTGCTATGATATGGAGTCTACTCTTAAGGAATTCACATATGGCTACATTTATAAAGAACTTTTAGTAGTACTTTCGTGAATATGGAGCACATAAGCCAAGTGCTGCGTCCTTTCTGCTGCAATAACATTAAGTTTTCCAGGTCCCTCAAAGGAGGGCTCTGGGTTTTTCTCTGGAATTGTACAGCTCTGCCTCTGCCAGCGGCAAGGGTGCTGAGTGCCTTGGCCTGGCTGACTTCATCCTAACGAGCTGGAGGCCTGTTCCCTGTGTTGTTTCCATTAACTAACAATGCAATTTGAAACATGTCAGCCTTGCTGTGGAAAAGGTCCCATGCCTGTCCTGCAAGAGCCAATAGGCTACAGAGTCGTAATTCTTTCCTCCTCGATTTTTCCTTAAAAATATGATTTTTTTTGTTCTTGAATACACACCACGCCAGTGCCACAAGCAGGATGGAACTTGCTGTCCCAATGCACTTGGTTTCTGCAGTTCCATGGGTAAGGACCAGAGTCTTTTAGAAGAGAGAGAAGCTTGAATCTCTGCAGGGAGAGATGAGCACTGTAATCAGGTCTCTCACTGTCTGGGCAAGTACTAAAGGAGGGCATTGGCATCTCCATGTTGTCTTCTCTGCATGGTGGTCAGCCCAGGGTGTTCAGAGGACACTTAACAGGACAGGTAGTCTGCCTGATTAAACTCAGCCTTGTACCTGAATCATAGTACAACTTATGGCCCTAAGCACAAGGGAAAGATCCTCACGGAGTATGTTCACCTCTCTGCAAGGATGAGCTACCAACAACAGAGTACCAGACAGTCAACTTAAAAATACCAAAATGCAAAGTAGGCAGAATGAGGTGGGATTAACCCTTGCTTACTAGACATTGTGTGTCTATCAGCCCTCAGAGCCATACAGGAATGTGCCTGTGTCTACAAAATCTGAAGTGTGAACGCAACTTGGACTATGTACTTTTTACAGGTGTATTGTCTTAGTGAGGCCTCATCAAGCTCTGTCACTGACAGCCTTTCATCTCCAGGTCAAAGCAGCTGGCAAGAAGTCCTATTTTATTCTACATATGTAGAAGGATCGCATCTGTTAATGGTGGAAGATGACAGTATTACTTTTCTTGTTTCCTTTGCCAGTTACAAAATTCTGCATTACTCCTACAAGGTTAATTAATAATTCTTAACTTTTCCAGATGTCATGCAGTTTTCTGGTAATGTGGTATTTTCTTTACTATTTGTAAGAATGGTGAAAGAGCAAACTAGACAAATCTGCATTTGTGGCTGCAACGACTGTACTGAGGAGAGCAGAATATCCTGACAATATGTAAGTATCTGCAGCACGTGAGTTCAAAGGGAAATTTTATACCTGGCCAAAATAACCTCATACAGGCTTAAAAAAGAGACCATTATATAACATCTTAGTCGGACCTTTGTTCATTTAGCTCTGTAGAGTGATCAGCAAGACATATTTGCCTTTAAAAGGTCAGTTTATCTTTATTGTGCTATGAATCACAGCTGCCTCTGAACTAATATAAAACTTTCTGAGGTGTTCTTAATGTAAGACCTTTTTCATAAATCTAAGTCACTCTCTAGAGGGACTGCAACCTTTGCTAATTGAGACACAGGTTTAAAACTCTTTGGCACCAGTGAGAGATAATGTACTTAAGAAATAAGAGTGTTTCAACTATAGTAACCAGGGAACACTCATGTATACACTATTCTTTCAAACTACTCCACTAAGTCTCCAATCCACTTTGAAAATACATTAGGTACTCTAGACTCCAATGAAAAAGTGAGTCATTCCTTCACAATAGGAAAAATTACTAATATCTCAAAGACTAAAAATGTTTATTTATACATGCATAACAAGAAAACTATTTTTATAAAACAATTTTATAGATAAACATTTTTTCTGAGTACAAGAACATGAAATCTAGGTGTCCTGGTTTGAGCAACAAGGGACTAATTTCTCTTCTAATACTTGGGAAGACTTCACTTTTAGAAGACTTTAGTGTTTGAATTTGTGAAAATATTTACTTTATAGCCAACTATGGTATGTGGGTTTCAAGGTCTCGGTGTTTTTGAGCTCTCCAGGTGCAGGGGTGAGGAGGAATGAGACCTGAGCACTTGATTCAAGCTAGCCAACAGGATTATTTCGTACCATGAACGTCACATTCAATATAAACTAGAAAGTTTGCTGCAAATAACTTTCTCTCCCTTGATGGCTGCCATCTTGAGAACTTCTTGTCCCGGTGCCAGACCCCTGAGCCCTTCCCTTGCTCCCAAAGCAGTAGTGCTCACAGTGTCCGATATTTGCTGTCCACTGCTGGGAGTGTACAGCCTCCTATGGATAGAATTGGCTGAGTATAATCCTTTTACATTTTATATTGGTACAGGGATCAATATTGGTTCTTTAGTGTTACTAATGTTAATCATCTAGTCTTATTCTATTAAATCTGTTTAAATTTCGATCCCCGGGTTTCCTTGTTTTTTCCCAATTTCCCTTCCCTGGTGGTGAAGGGTGGTAGAATAATTGTCTAAATGACAATAAATTGTTGTGGGTTTCTTAAACTGTAACACCAGGGTACCAAGAAATGGTAAAATACACACAGCAGAAAAGCAAGGACTGCATTCAACTAAGGGAACAGAAAATATATCAC